CCTCTTAGATCTAATTCGAGTTTGATCTAGTGTAAATAAATCGTTTAAGGGTAATATTATTACATTGTATGAGGGGTTGTTTGTTTTGTGCTCTTATTTTGAGAGAAGTGGCAGACATAATACACAGATGAGACATGCAGTGGAACTCGGATTCAACGAGGTCGCTGGGCCTGACCTAAAATCTCGTTGAATCCGAGTGTTCGTTATAGCAAACATGAGGTTTTGTGTTGATAATTACAAGAACTGAGGTAGTAATGTATAAAGAGAAGTCACAAGTAGTGCCTGAAATGCCTGCATATTATGAGCTGTGTAACCCCTCACCCCCCCCCCACCCCCGATTCGTTCAAATGCACACGCCTGTGCCATCTCGATTGTTTACCAAAAAGTTGTGTTGCTCTTGTGTAGGGCTTAGAACACGGCAACGTTTGATTCCATAGACCAGCGCACAATTCATTACGTAGATCTACGTCAAGACTAGCTTATCATTGTAATAATGATCAGTCGCCGGGGAAAAAAAAGACTGTGACGCGCTAATGCCCCTCCCCGCATCCCTGACGCGCACACACAGCCACATGTGTGCTGGCCGCCCATCCGACCCCGACACACGTTAGAGTAGACACTTGCACGTGCCAACAACGCATGCGGCGGTACGAAAAAAGGCCGCTGATTGGTCGCATGCAATCAGCTAAGTGAATAATGGTTCACGATGCAGTTGCAATGGATGAATTCCGGCAATAGATAAAGTTCGTTCTGGGAGAAAAATGAGCTAAGCCACGTCTGCGGTGACTGTTCACCCTGGAAGCGACCTCATTGAATCCGAGCTCGCTGATTTAAGTGCTCGTTGAATCCGGGTTATTTTTATTGTTTTTAAAGAAGAAGAAAAAACGGGGAATCTATCTCATCTTGTTGAATCCGAGTTCTCGTTGAATCCGAGCTAGTTGAATCCAGGGGCGAAGGCTGACTTGTTTGACAGGGTAATCAAAGTGAAACAGGACCAGATATGGCCTGGGGATATCGCACAAGAATAATAATAGTAATAATAATAATAATAATAATAATAATAATAATAATAATAATAATAATAATAATAATAATAATAATAATAATAATAATAATAATAACAATAATAAATAGCATGTATACTGCGCATTTCCATTTCCTAAAAGATGCTCAATGCGCATTACAATGAAAAAGACATCACATCTTAAAAATTAATCGACACAAAGGTGTACGTAAAACAAAGTATTACACATATAATATAAATGCATATGTGTAAAATTTTATACCAGAAAAACAGTCTCTCAGTGAGGTTGAAAATGTGTTCACTAAAAATATACAATGCAATAAAAATTCAAAATAAAGTTGAAACGTGAGTAACTAGAAACATTCATTAAAACATTAATTCTATACAGATAGAAAAACATTTCCGTTCTCTCTCTCTCTCTCTCTCTCTCTCTCTCTCTCTCTCTCTCTCTCTCTCTCCCTCTCCCTCTATCTCTCTCTCTTTCTCTTTCCCTCTCTCTCTATCTATCTATCTCTCTCTTTTCTCTCTCTTTTCTCTCTCTATCTCTCTCTTTTTCTCTCTCTCATTCTCACTCGCTATTTTTTCAGTCTCACAGTCTGGCATACACACGCATATATATCACAGTACATCATTATGACAGGTATGCTTTTGTGAATAAAAAATGCTTCAGCTGATTTTTGAAAATGGAAATTGTTGGGGCAGATCTTATTTTATATGAGAGTTCGTTCCATACCTGGGGACCAAAGAACAAAAAGGAACGCTCGCCGTATGTTTTGTAATTTTGTTTTGGAGTTTTAAGAATTAGATTGTCAGAGGCTGATCTAAGGGCTCTAGGTGGATGATATAATTCCAGGAATGTTTTAAGATAAAAAGGTGCACTATCATTTATACATTTAAAACAGAGAACGGCAGTTTTGTATTTAATCCTTTCTTTTATTGACAGCCAGTGTAGTTCTTTCAGAATTGGTGTTACGTGCGCTGATTTCTTTTGTTTCATTATCAATTTTGCTGCTTGATTTTGGACTACTTGTAACTTTGATAGTTTTTCGGATGTCAAACCGGACAAAATAACATTACAGTAATCTAACTTAGATCAAATGAGTGTTGTTACAAGTGTCTTGGCTGCTGCTTTAGTTAAATAATTTCTTACACTGCCAATTTTCTTAAGCTGAAAGTAAATACTTTTGCTGAGCTGGCTTATTTGGGAGGACATAGACATATCACAATCCAACTGAACCCCTAGATTTTTAAGAGTTCTTTTTGAACGAATGGTATGGTTATTAATATCAATTTGTAGCTCTGGGAGATTTTTAATGGCTTTTGTATTTCCACTCAACATTATTTCCGTCTTGTCATAATTTAGTTTCAATTTATTGCTGGTCATCCATATTTTTAAATCTCTAGTACCCGGTACATTGCTCAGTAGAGTCGACTAAAAGTGGTATTTGATCGAAATCAGTAGACTTATAAATTTGAGTGTCATCAGCATAAAGATGGTAATTCATGCTATAGTGTCTTGTTGAAGAGGCGGCGACTCAGGGTTGTGAATGAAAACAAATCCGGAATTCATTATTGTATGTTCAACCGCCAAAATAATCGGGAAAGTATCTCATTAAATATCAATTCCAATTAAAATTAAATTTAACTTTAGATGTGAATACACAAACACAAAGCAAAGAAGCAGAGATGTCAGTACTAGATCTATAATATGTTATAGATCTACCAGGGAGTCTAACTCTTTGGTAGAACATGACAATTATCATTTGTTAAATTTCACATTTGGCTGTTTTTTGTCTAGCCTTTCGCGGCCACGAGCTGGTGTCATAATCGAGGTCACGATCTGATTATAGGGCAGTAAAAAGTCGAGGAAAAAACCAAGCTCTCGCAGCAGTGAGAGATTATTAGGAGTTAGTTCCCCTCACATCTGTGAGGTAGACTCGACCAGTGTAATAGTTAGTTTACCTAATCAGTGCTTGAGACTGATTATAACTGTGGCCCGAAATGGGTGAACAGGGTATATGTGGCAATGAAACAGTTTAGACTGCTATGCACATGCTCCCTTCAACTATGTTGGTAGACTCTTCCAGTCTCACTTTAAGCTTACTTAATCAAAGCTTGTGACTGCTTATGGAGTGGCCCAAGAGGGGAGAACAGGCTATTTCTGTGGCAATGAAACCGTTTAGAATGTTAGGCATACTGTTCATTGTTGATTATGAACGTCTTTTAACATTTAATTTACGAAGTTTACGTTTATGGGTGAATTTGACTGCGACAATGTTTCAAAATTAGGAAGGGAAGCAGTGATTAATTGATTATATAGACGCTTCGCCTCTGGTTGAATCCGAGTTTCACTGTATAATATTAGGGCCTTCATTAGGGACTGCATCTACATGACTGTATTTACCTCTATAGACTGAATCGATACCTTTATTTGGAGATAATGTTGGTTCCTTAAAAATTGAAAACGATCTTTGCAGACATTGCCACCAGAAATTGAGTTTTGTAAAAAGTTTCAAAGACGTTGTTAAGATCCATCTTGAATTTTGTCGAAAGTTGCAAAGACCTTGATAAGATACTGTTCTAATTGAAAACCATCTATGGCTCGAAAGGGGGCTGGGAGGGAGGGGGGGGGGGGGGTAGAATTCTGGACCAGACCTTGCCATATTGAGTTCGTTCTATGTCGAAAGTTTCAAAGACGTTGTTAAGATGCGGTTCTTTTATTCTCGTGTACGTAGGGCTTATATCATGTGTGCGAGCAAAATTAAAGATGGCGTGCTTTTTTCTAGCTCTCCGTCATGCAGTGTGTGTGTGCGTGCGTGGTGAACTTCGGGTACCGTTGTCAGAAACAATTAAGCCCCGTTGTGTTTTAGATATCTCTAATTTCAGACTTCAATTTTTTAAAAACCCATTAGGTGGGTGGTTGGCGGGTGCTCTGGTGTAGTTTGCTTCTTCTTTCCTATCATACATCTATCGTCCTTATCTCCCCTTCTTCTTTTTTATGTTTGTTAATCTCTTGTATTCTCTACTCTTCTGGCGCTCATAAGACCTTATGCAGTTGCGAGCATCGTAAAACCTCTACTAGATAACAATAATAATAATAGATAGCATTTGTATAGCGCATATTCCCGCTCAACAGCAGGCTCTATGCGCTTTACACTATATTATTACCCCAGCAGACCATAGAACACTCCGAAACATTCTCAGCTTCCCGGGAATCATACAGTGCGAGCAGCCGATTAAGCGCTCAAACACTAACAAACTGACAAGATCTTTCGCTGTCTATAGCCGGGTACCCATTTCGTGTAAAGTGCCTTTCCCAAGGACACAACGTCGGGCCCTTGACGGGATTCGAACCCACGACCTTACGGTTGCGAGTCCGAGAGCCTAACCACTAGGCCACCGACGATAGTTAAATCTATACTAAACCCATTAGTTAAGTACTCGTAGCAAAATTTCTGTAAAATGACGCAAAAGGCTTTGTACTATCTACTCACATCCCTAAAGAACCTAGATTTCTACAGATCTGGGCCTATTGTATTAAGATGATAATAATTCACACACACACACACACACACACACACACATATATATATATATATATATATATATATATATATATATATTATATATATATATAATATTTTGTGTGTGTGTGTGTGAATATGTAGATATCTCAATCACACTCAAACAAACACACACACACACAAACAAACGCTAGCATAACATAGATCTAGATCTATTCATAACATAAATCTAGATCTAGATCTATTAGATCTACACTCCTCCAAAAGACATGATCGACACCAAACACGTGTTCCACTAGCTGCAACAAAAAAAAAAATCTCTACGTTTGAAAATTGAAAATATGAGGGAACACATAGCAGTGACAACAGTTAGAAAATGTTTTTATAACTTTTTACCTTTTACAGTAACTTCCCCTGTTGCATAGCACTGGCGGTGTATTGATCTGAAATACATAGACTTTATTTACATTTTTGACAGGCATGCATTTTAAAGCAAAATTGTAGAATGTAATAAGAGCTATTTAAACCTTCCTATCAATGAGTCTACCCTTCAGATATAGAGGTTAGAATTTCTAAAGAAAAAACTTCTAGGTCGCACTTGCATCCGGTTGATGTGTGCTGTGGCTCTGTAAACAACATGTCGGTCATAACAAAAGTTCCCGAACCAAACTTGTGGGAGGAAATATGCAAAGGTTAGGCACCGTTTGTTCATTGTTTTATTACATTTAGGGGTATATAAGTGTGGAAAAGCAATTCTATTTGGTTCCTTTCTCGTTCATTTGAAATTTGACCCGCCTTCTAGTAGATCGAGTTGCCATTTCATGTCACATAGAGGCCGACATTTTATAAACACATTTTTGTTTTAGGCTCATTCATTCATTCGAATTGCTGCTTGCATTAATTCAATGCTTAAAACACGTTTTATTCTCATACTATATCATGTAAATTTACAGTACCTAATTCCCCATTCTGTACTCCGGGTATCACAGATAATTGGTGATGCATCCATCGTGAGTGGATATTAACAATTGTTAACTAATAACATGGTAAAACCTTTTACAAACTGTTTAACCAGTTTCCACAAGTTAAGGATTTACATTCCAAATGCCCTAACCCCGTTCCATAAACTGTAGAAAGACTATACTGTCTATAGTCTAGGTTAAGTTTAAGTACTCATGCTTTACAAATTTGAGTATATCTTATATTATTTTAGTTGCAACTGATCATGCTTTACATGATCGAAGTGGCTATTCGGACTCAAATTCCAGTGCGTGTATGCAATCACCGGTTGTACCGTAAGCAAGGTCTATACTGGAGTCCGAATATTCTCCCATTGCTATTTGGACTTAAAACTACTGGCAGGCTATACTGCGTTTCACGACTACAATTAAGGGATCCAAACATAAAATTCATCAGTCCTTATAAGACAGCCCCCCCCCTCCCCTTT